CTGTCTGAAAAAGTTCTCTCTTGGCGGACAGATTTTTGTTCTCTCTTTCGTGGCTTTAAAAATTCTTTAATATTTGTTGTGGGGGGGGGGGGGGCAGAAACTGAATGAAGTGGCGCGTACAGAGCAAGACGACGAGGCCTACACTGTAAACCCGTGATTCACGCAGACCGAAAAGGTCCTGCCTTATTGACACCTGTCAGTCCTTCTCGGCCTCTGTACCCTGACTCGTCACCGGCTATTTCCAGTTACCGGTTTCCGTAGGACAATCCCCACTCATGAGGTATCAAATTACTATGTTACCCTTCCGACGAACAAGCTAGAGTCTTTAATAGATTTTTGTCCAAAGAGATTTAAAAAAGAAAAGAAACAAGAGGAAAGTTTCAACGGATTCATGATACGAGACGTTTAGAACAAGTTCACGACACACCAAACTCCTCGTAAATGTAAAATTATGACGTTAATAAATTATGGAAATGCATAAAAAGAAAATTTATTACTTTGTTTAAGCGTTATTCTCAATAAATATAACATATTCTATACTCCCTCGGTTTTTGAATAATTGATGTTTAATTTAAAAAAAAAACTATAAAAAAAGCTATATATCATCATTAAATTATTTCTCATTAATAGTCTATTCAAATTGGGTCATTAAAATAAAAAGTAAAATTAGATTTTTTTTTTTAAAAAATCACCTAAAAAAATCTAAAACGATACCTTAGTAACAAAATATATCTTCTTAAATGGCATCTATTAAGTAACAGAGAGAGTATTTTATAATTAATTTATATAAATATGCTTACAAAATAATTGTAATTTTCCTAATTTTTAGGTCTATAAAAAAATGCGTGTACATATGTAGAAGTAAATGGGTGTATGTGAGTATATTATTTTTAAATAAAAGGTATAAATTATTATTAGTAAATGTTATTTAGGCAAAACAATAAGCAAAAAGAAGGGAAAAAAAGGTGCATGGGGCAAGTGAAACAGTACAAGTATTTGAAAATATTCTGAATCCAAGAGAAAGTGAGATGTCATTGGGACAATTTTGGTATCAATGAAAAGAATATAATACGACTTTTTCGGGCATTTATGAAAATCGTACCTTTTATTGGGTGGTGCTCCAAATGACGTCAAAAAGCACAATCTTTTTTAAATGCGGATTATATATTTACCATTAACGCAAATTTTTTTAAAAACAAAAGCTTAAAAAGGGAATATAAAGCAAAGCAGTGCCAAAGTTGGCAGAAAACAGGAACCAAGCGCTTCGTGCATATTTTAGCTTTCGCTTAAATTTAGATAGTTTTTTTTTTAAAATTTTTGAAAATGATATGTATATATCCGTTGTCAACTTTCTTTGAAATTAATTTAATGCTGTTTTCAAAACAACTATATATTATTTAATTATTTGAGCTGAAACAACAACTTTATTTCTTAATTTCCTGCGGATTCACGTGTTTTTAATATTATGTTTTTTATTTTAATTTTGATACTATCTTAGCCAAAAATCTTGAAAAAAATGGCATTTTATTTATTTAATCCAAGTAAGAGCACCTGGACGTGGTCGCAACCTATTTTGTTTGGTTCGAGGAAAACATGTGAATTTGAATAGATACGCCAGTAATGATTATAAATTTAATTTTATACGTGATATAAAAATCAATAAGGTTTATTTATACATTTAGAAGAACAAGGCCCATTAATAAATAATATGGGCCGAGTTGTGAAATTCGGGCCCACTTGACTCTCTATCGTTCGCTCGTGTGTATTAATCATCTCATTGGTTGATAAAAGTCCCGTTGTAATATTTTTTTCGTTATTTGGTTAGGTTGTGTTTTTTTTCTCTACTCTTATATCTTTAATTTATTCTTTTTTAACCTTCTAACAATATATCTTATTCTATTACCACATAAATGCATTCGATTATCACATAACCAAGAAATGTTAGTACTAATTAATGTTTTCATTATTTAGTTTTCTCTATTTTTGTGATTTATAATCTCTAGCTTTTACCTCAAATGTAAAAGAAAATCTCAAATTCCTCTCAAGGCATGCCATTCTGCGCTGGGTTTGACCTCAGGTCTCTCTCTCGCGCGCGCGCCCTATAGATCCCTAAATTTTCTCGTTTGGACCGTTAACACCAAACCCTAAATCCCCTTTGAAATTTTTTCTTGTAGATTCTCTGTTTTCCATCTCAATTTCTCATACCCTTGAAAAAATTATCAAACTTTTCATCTGGGTCATCTTCAACGATGGGAAAGAACCATGCTTACAAGGCTATGCAGAAAGCCAGGGTGGGCTCGAGCTCCGCCGCTCCGGAGGAGATCGATGACGGCATGGTTTGTACTCTTCCATACCTCTATTTACTTGCTCCGATGCGTCGAAGACATTCAATCGGTTTCGAATAGTTTGATCGTCGGGTTAATGGGTCTCGAGCTGTGTAATCGCTCTTTTCAGAGATTCCTATTGGATTGGATATCGTATACAGGTCTTTACTACTAGCGAGTTACAGGGAAGAGCTCGTTTATTGCTGTTGGACTTTGAGAATACTGTATTCGTCCAAATGTCTGTGTTTGAATCATTAAGAGTTCGTGTTTGGGATACAATTGTCATAGGCTTTCTTTGATTAGGAAAATAGTAAACAGTGGGGAATGTTTTTTTCTTGAGGTGTTTTGTTTTCCAGGTAACGGGGGAATTAAACTTCATTACGGTGATATAGATGGAGGAAATGATTCGAAGGTCTTTGAAATTGAAACGGTATACATATGGTGTAGAACTGAGGCGTATTCCGTGAATTTACTGGTTTATATTTTATAATTGTGTTGCAATCTGTTACCAATAGAAGGGTTTAGTGATGCATGACAGTTGGTGCATACAAAGCATGGAATTTGGTGCCATGAATTTGTTCCGCTCTGTTGATACATCTAGATCGTGTTGTTACTTGGTCATATGATTTAGGTTAGTTTTCTTTCCGGAACATTTCTGATGAGGACAGTCGCAGGTGGATGGTTCATTTCATACACCAGAGTGGCATGCTGCTCGTTTGGCTAGCCTCAAGACTTCACACACCATTACCTGGGAAGAATTTAAGAAGAAGCAAAAGGTTTAGCTGTAATCCTCCAATGTCACTTTCTCTTGTATGCTTCAGTATTAGAATAAAGGGTCGAGGCCTTCTCAGCACTTATCCTTTGTTCCCCTTGTGTGATTCTTTATAGTAGGGTTTGACATCACTTTAAAAACTAACCTTGCATGAGACCAAGGATGGTTACCTAGTGTTACGAAGTGTTTATAACACTTTCTACCCATGATTTTGATTTTTTTATAAGCACTTTGTATCCATGATATCAGATATTGGTTTTCTTACCTTCTGCAGGATTCTCTGATGTGTGTTTATGGCACTACATGGGAAACATTTCTCATTTTATCTGACATGACATGACATATTAGGAAGAAGATATGATAAAGGGAAAACTTGAAGCAGATACCGATAGAATGATGCGTGAATATAGAGCTCAGTTGGACGCTGAAAGGGCACTAAAACTCTCCAAGGGAAGGAACCATTCTAGTGATAAATCCAAAAAAGGTGCGTGATCAACTTTTTAACGCGGAACATTTATCTTATTTCGGGGGTATTTTTAATTTGCTTTTCGCTCTCTATTGGCACGATGATCATCTCACAGATAAGGACAGAGATTCGAAGAAAAAGAGGAGCAAAAAGAGAAAGGTGCTTATCAACTCGAAAATCAATAATATGACATTTGTTTTGTTGCTCATTTTGATTGCATATGTCAGTCTGAAGGTATCTTTGTCAATGGAGATGACCACCATGGTTGTATGTATCCCTCGAGTTAGTAAATTGCTAAAACCTATTGCATCCTTAGAAATTCACTATGATGGATATAGTGATACAAACCCATCAAGTCTAGTTTTACAATTCCTCCCTTGTTTGTTTGTGCAACTTGATATGATCTGATGTGCTCTCGAGTATTAACAGGCAAACCGTTTTTTGGTTACGTTATTGAATTACAGCGTCCGAGAAGGAGATCTTCTGATTCAAGCTCCTCTGCCTCATCATCAAGCAGTGATGAGGAGGAATCTAGAAGATCGAGATCGAGTTCTAAAAGATCAAGAAAGGAGAAGAGACACAAGTCGAGAGACAAACGGTCCAGCAAAAGCAAAGAAGAGGCTGATGGTCCAGTACCGCTCTCAAGATTCTTTGGCAATATGAAGAGTTGACAAAACCCGACAACTAAACAAGACCGGAAGTGTCTTCTCCGTTACTGAAATTGTTGCCCCCAGGATAAGTCTGCTTCCTCCTCGTCTCATCACTCCAACGATTACAGCTGATGATGATGATGATGATGATGATGATCTTCCTCCTCATTAGCCTGTATGATTTCAGCATGGATTCAGACTATTCCCCTGCAAATTTAATAGGCTTCTTTGGATTTTCTTGAGCTATAAGGATCGTGTAATTGATTATGAATTTGTGACCTTCGAAGTTGCTCAATCAGTGTTCAAAATAATCAAATGACGTTTGACTGGTTGACCTTGTCTGTTCTCAGATACTTTCTCAACACCATCACCTGACCTGAGGAAACTCGCCTTCTCAAATTCATAAACTCCTCAACTGCAGAATCTGAATCTGAGTTGAGGCCAGCAGAAAGAAGTCATAGCACATGAAAAACGCTCTGAGAAAGGAAGTCCGCTGCAAAAGAAAAAGAAGGGAAGGGAAAAAGAATATGAAAGGGTACCAAAAATGGTTCCTGAAGTTTCTGCAGTCTGCACCACGAAAAGTGGATACTGCAACTGGTCTGTTCACTGAGAGAGGTCCCCTCTAATGATCTGAAAACGTTTTCAGAGCTAAATATGATTCCCCTGAAGGGTGCATGCCTTGTACACATGAACAAAACGATCGTTTTCTTGATAAGACAAGATGGGTAATATAAATCATCAAAACTGTTGATTCAAGGCCATTGCTGGTAATCGGGGTTGAGCTCTGAGTGCTTCATGGTAGATGAGCTTCTTCATTTTGTTCATATATATTTATATATATATATATATATATATATATATCACTTCATTTGAAAGGCCTATGCATAAGTTGAATCCTCCAGTATATATATATATATATATCACTTCTGATGGAAAAGGGCTTGCAGCCTAATACAAAGTGTATTTGACAGAGAAAACAACACACAAGTTCACTATCTCATGTAATGTAACAGCAGCTATTGTTCAAATATGTCAATTTATAATATTTTTCGTTACCAATTTCCCATACTTATTATAAATAAAATTTACTTCCCATATACACTGGTCTTGCACTCGTTACAGATCCCTCCGCCGGAACATTTGTGGGTATATATGTGTGAATATATCAGTTGGAATTTGCCACCAAACAAACAAAGAAATGAAAAAGTTGGAGCCTTTATGCTTCAGAGAGATCAACGTTCTCACTAACCGAAGCCGTACCTTCAGAATATTCATCTTGAAGTCCTTCGGAATCAGAGGGCTTGGATTCATGCTTAGCAGCAGCTTGCAACACCCGACTTTGGACGTCGGAAGAAGAAGGCGACGTTGGGAGGCCTACCCCATTCGTCTCGAGTTTTCCGGCCGCCCACGAGAAGGCCTGAGCTCCAAGTCTCACGGGTCTGAGCAACGAGCTTGAACCAGGACAACAGACAGAGTCTGTGTTAAGACAGAACAGGATATGTGTTTCGGTTTGACATGGAAGAAGAGGGATGAGAGAGATATACCTCAGGTCTTGCTTGAAATCCTCCGAGTCCTCGTATGAAGAAAGCCGCCGATATATAGTCTGGTAAAATTCGGGGACAATTCAGAAACAAAAAAAATGGTTTTTTGAGGACAGTTTACCGAAACATCGCACAATACCTGACCGAGGCCAACCACACCTATGAGTTGCAGTGTATTTTCCCATTCTGCGAGATAAACGTTAACCATATTAGGCTCAGTCAAGAACAGGGTAAGGGAATGAACTCAAAACTCGGTTGTAGGCTTCAAAGGATCAAGCTTTATGATGAAATTCAAAGGAAAAGATGAACCCACCAAAAAATGCGTATAACGATGCCACAAAACCCTGTGTAAATTGCCTCGTGTTAGTCGTGATGCACTTAAACTTTTACAGAAAAAAGAGAGACAGGAGCAGAATCATACCACACCAACTCCAGCAAGTTGCAATGGTGATGGATTTATGCTCTCAAGAATCGCCTCGGCTTCCTGAAAAAGCATTCATGATAGTCATATGATATCGGGAATTAACTTTCCAGTGTATGGATTTGAGATAGTTTCTTGAAATCCAAAAATGCTTAAAAAGATCGAAGCAGCTTATCAAAGTCGACATGGAGAGAAATGTAATAAGATACCTCGTTGAGGATGGTAAGTGCAGTTTCCGGCTTTGGCTCTTTAACTCGAAGACCCTCCTTAACCCATGATCTAAATCCACCTTGAACCATATATGGTCTCTGTTGCATAATCAAGAAACCAAATGAAAACTTACCAAGAACCCACAAGGGGAAACTAAAGATCACAAAATTTTACGTTAACCTGAAAATTACTTGCCTTAATCCCAAGTTTTCTCAGGGATCTAGCAATGCCCTTAGAGCAAGTACCATCAACATCCATAACAATAACCTTGGACCTGTCCTACAGATAGCCGGCAAAAAAAAAAAAAAAAAAAAAAAAAACAAACGTGACC